ACCTGGGGTCAGCCATGGGGGAATCCAGCACCTTAACTACCATGCCACTTACTGACCCTACCATACTGTTGTCTTCTTCTTCTTTTTATAAATAGTTATTTATTTTATTTATTATTATTTTAAAATTTGACCAGAGAGGGACAGGGAGATAATGGGAAAATGAGAAAGCAAGCTGCCAGGTCTGGGACTTGAACCACAGCAGGCCATGTGAGAGTCTAGTACCTCAACCATCATGCCACCTGCTGACTCCACCATATTGTCTTTTAAGACAAAATTGTACTTTATAGTTCATAATTTTATAATTTAGCCTAATAAGAAGTAAATGAGGGGCCAACAAGTTAGAGTGGTGGTTAAGGTGCTGGACTTTCACATGGCTGATCACAGTTTTGAGTCCTGGACCTGACAACCTGCTTTATCACTTTCCTCTCTCTCTTTGGTGAGCATATATGCCCTATAGCAAATTAAAAAATGATAATAATAATAAATAAAATTAAATAATTCTTTTTATAAGAATTATTTTATTTAACTTTATTCATTCATTCATTCATTTACTTTAATTTGACTAGAGAGGGACAGAATGAGAGAGAAAAAGAGAGATAAAGTGAGAAAGCAAGCCACTAGGTCTGGGACTTGAACCATGGTTGGCCACGTGGGAGTCCAGCTGGGGTTATGTTCTAAAGTCAGAGTGTATGCATGTGTGATCCCAATACATTTGGCAAGCACTGCTGTGCTGCATCTCAGATTTCATATTAAACACTGTACCTAGGTATACCAGAATAATAGCATTTTTTTTTGAGACAGATTTTCGCTATAGCGTGCGTGCACTTGCCAGAGAGACAGAAAGCGAGAAATCACCCCCCATTGCCCCCCCAGGGGATGGCCAAACCACAATCTCTTTTCATCCATTCTCTCCTCAGGATTTTAGGCATGCACGCACATGTGCCTGGCATGAGTTTTAAGCCACCAGGTCCAGGACTCAAACTGTGATTGACTATGTGGGAGTTTAGTGGCATAACCATGACTCCATTTGCTGGTCCTGAATAATAGCATTTTTAAAGCTTGATAATTTAGGAGGCTGTCAAAAGTTTACCCAACTCCAAAAGAAATATTAAGCAGACTTTGCCATATAAAGCAGATAAGTGGGCCGGCAGGTGGCTTGGTGGTTAAGGTATTGGACTCTCACATGGCTAACCACGGTTTGGGTCCTAGACCTGGAAGTTTGCTTTCTCACTTTCCCTGTCTCTCTCTCTTATCAAATTAAAAGAAAATAGTAATTATTCTAATAAATAAAATTGAATAAATAATTTAAAAAAATAAAAATAAAGCAGATAAACTTCTGGTTACACTCAGGGGTCTTCACCCTTCAGGGTCACTTTCAAGGATTTTAATCAGTAAATAATTTATTTAGGCTTAAGTTTTATAGGCCCAAAGAGAATGAATGGCAGATAGAATTAGAATCCAGGCATTTGAATTCCCAGCCCAGTTTACTAACTGATTTTCTCTTCTTATCTTCAATTAGGCAAGTCACGGTCCTCACTTACATGTGGGTTTCTCTATCACTTATTCGCATTTACTGAGCAGCCACATGGTTTCAAGCTCTAAGGTAGGGGATGTTCATTATACACAAGATTTGGATACAGACTGTCAATAAGAACTCTAGACTATCCGTATTGGTTTAACTTTTCCAAGTACTTACTTCCAAATTTAAAATTAAATAACCATATGCCCCCCTCCCCGGAATTCTTTGTATAATCATTTAGCTTAGGTTCATTTCCAGGAGAAAAAGCAGGGAGTATCTATCTGACTATGGTAAACATAACTAGAAGGCTGACTTGTGACTGAGAAGTAGGCAGCCCGCAACCAGCCAGGCGGCCGTCACTACCTCTGAGTCTCAACTGGTCTTGCCTCTACTATGAGAGGTTAGTACAACAAATTTCATACATGATTTTTTTTTTTTTCTGGGGTGATCTAACTTTCTTCTTTTCTTTAATTTTCTTTAATTTTACTTATTTATTTTAATTTGACCAGAGAGGGACAGAGCAAGAGAGGAAAAGTGAGAAAGCAAGCTGCCAGGTCCAGGACTTGAACTGCAATCAGTCACGTGGAAGTCCAGGGCCACCCACTGGCCCCAGATCTGACTTTTTAAGATGAAGTTCAGGGGCTGGCAAGTGGCATGGTAGTTGAGGATGCTGGATTCCTACATGGCCGACCGTGGCTCAAGTCCCAGACCTGGTGGCTTAGCTTTCTCACTTTTTTTCTCTCTCTCTCTGGTCAAATTAAAAAAATAATAACAACCAATGAAATTAAATAAATATTAAAAAAATCAAGTTCCGTGGTAAGTTTAACAGGCACTAGCTAGGAGGTAAAAAAGGGAATGGCAGCCCTTCATGCACTGAGTATTTACTGTAGACTCAATTGCTACATTCAAATTCAATAACCATGCTGCCTAGAGGTGTTTTTCTTAATCTAAGATAGATCTTCTTGTTTGATTTCAGAAATTTGTCCATTTTATTTTTACTTATTTTAAAATTTGCTATAGGGTGCATGTGGTCACTAGATACAGAGAAAGAAGAGAAATCATCCTCTAGGGGAGATGGCCGCACCACAAGCCATCTCCTCCCTTCTCAGGATTTCGGGCACGTACATACATGCCTAGAGTGTATTCCAAACTATTGGGTCCAGGACTCGAACCATGCAGCTGGCCTCATGGGATCTAGCCACCTTAACCACACTATCACCAGCTGGGCCAGGAGTCTATCAATTTGCATTCATAACCTAGTTAGTCTTCAAGTGGTTTCCTATAAAACATCAGGGACAGAGTCTTGTGTATTTGTGGATCCCTAGCACCTCACATTGTTTGGTACAAAGAAAATGTCCCATAAATGTTCAAAGAACAGCTCTGCAAACCCACTAGATACAGCTCTGTATATTCTCATATAAAAATAGGAGCCACATGGGGCTGGCAGGTGACACAGTGGTTAAAGGTGCTGGACTCCCACATGGCCAACCGTGGTTTGATTCCTGAACTTGGCAGTTTGCTTTCTTACTTTCCCTCTCTCTCTCGCTCTGTCCCTCTCTTGTCAAATTAAAAATAAAGTTAGGGACCAGTAGTTAGTGTAATGGCTATGTCAACCGTGGTTCGTGTCCCAGACCCAGTGGCTTAAAACTCACGCCGGGTGCATGTGCATGCATGCCTAAGATCCTCAGAGGAAATGTCTCTCTGTCTGGCGAGCGCACGTGCCCTATAGCAAAAACCTCTCAAAAAAAAAAAAAAGTAAAATAAAATAAAATAAAAATAAATTAAAAAAATTCTTAACAACAACAACAACAGGAGCCACAGACTGCTTTTGATTTAAGCAGCACTAAAGGCTGCTGCACATGTTTTTGAAAGCCTTCCCATTAAACAGCTGATCTTTCTTTGGAAGTACGGGGATGAAACAGTGAAGAACAGTTTGCTTATTTTTATTAGATTACACCTGATTAGAATCCACTGAAAGCGACTCTTATTATTATTATTTTTTTTTGGGTCCGGGTTTCGAACCGTGGTCGGCTACATGGGAGTTCAGCGACATAGCCATTAGGCTAACTGCTGGTCTCATGAAAGCAACTCTTAAGATTAAAGTTATCCTTAGGGAAAGCAGGTGGTGTGTTGGTTAAGGTGCTGGACTCCCACGTAGTCAACCACGGTTTGAGACCCAGACCTAATGGCTTTTTTTCTCACTTTCCCCTTCTCTCTCTCTCTGTCTCTTTGGTCAGATTATAAATAAATAAATAAATAATAACAACAAATAAAACTAAAGAAAGAAATATTTAAGAAAGATTAAAGTTACCCATTAGTATCCCTTTGATGGTAAAACAGAAAGATAAAACAGAAACTGTAACATGGGGCGTCAGCAATTGCTGTGTGTGCTTACCCTCGGTTCTGTAAGTCCTCTAAGTTGGAGGCATTCCATTCTGAGCCCTATGGAGCCAAAAAGACAAGGTTAGGGAATGTTAATATACTGACCAAGTACAATACCACCCTGTGCCCTGTAAGTGCCAGGCACTTTGTATGTTACCATGTTTAGTTTTCACAAATAATAGAATAGGAAGTTATCTTCATCTTTATTTTTAGATATTTTTCCTATAGAGCATGTGCACTTGCCAGAGAGACAGAGACAGAAAGTGAGTGAGTGCGTGAGTGAGTGAGTGAGAGAGAGAGAGAGAGAGAAGGGGGGTGGGGATGAGAAAGCAAGCCGCCAGGTCTGGGACTCGAACCACGTGGGAGTCCAGCACTCTTAACCACCATCCCACCATCCCGCCCCAACATTGACATTTTTGTGGACTCCAGATCAGTTATCTTAAAGAACTTCCTACGATGTGGATTTATCTGATTGTTTTGTGATGATGAGATTCAGGTCAAACATTTTTGGCAAGAACATTACAAGGAGGATGTTGTGTGCTTTCTACTGTATCAAATCAAGAGGCAAATAATGTCAGTCTGTTTCATTATCTGTCATGCTGAGTTTCAATTTTTTGTCAGGGTACCTTTGTGTCTGTTATGTCCCTCTGCTTTACAATTAATCTGTGATCTGTGGTGTTAGTAATCTTTGTTGCTGTGTGAATATCCTACTTCACAAATAACTTTAACCCTATGGTCTTAGAATCAGTTGCCGATGCTTCACTTTCACTTGCCAAATCAGTCATTTTGCTGGAAGTTACAAAACGCTAATTTTCCTACTCTATCATTCCTTCTGCATTTTTGCTGGTATTTTCCTATAAAAGAGTTTCACCAACCAATTCTTCCACACCTTTCTTTTTGTTGTTGTTGCTATGTCAAAAAGACATTTATTCTTGCTCTTTCTGTGCAGATAGCAGGCCCGCAAGCATGGTGAACGTCCCTAAAACCCGGCGGACCTTCTGTAAGAAGTGTGGCAAGCACCAACCTCATAAAGTGACACAGTACAAAAAAGGGCAAGGATTCTCTGTGTGCTCAGGGACAGCGGCTAAGTTATGACAGGAAGCAGAGTGGCTGTGGTGGACAGACTAAGCCTCTTTTCCGGAAAAAGGCAAAAACTACAAAGAAGATCGTGCTGAGGCTTGAATGTGTTGAGCCCGATTGCAGATCTAAGAGAATGTTGCCTATTAAGAGATGCAAGCATTTTCAACTGGGAGAAGAAGAGAAAGGGTCAAGTGATCCAGTTCTAAGCCTCATCTTTTCTATCACGAAGACGACAAAATCTTGAGATGAATGTTCACCTCGTCTGATTACAGTTGGTCTATTTGTGAGGGAATAAAGTAATCAATAAAATGCCCCTTTTGGGGAAATTTGAAAACAAAAAAAAGACAATTATTCTTTCTATCAGAGCCTCTTTTGCTTTCTTCCAGATGCTTTTTGGGCTGTAGCTTTCTGACCCTTCTGAGCTTTTGGAGGTGGCGCTGCCTTCTGGCCTGTCGCTTTCTGGGTGGGAACCTTCTGGGCTGGAGCCTTCCTGCCTGCAGTAGTTGTCTTTCTCACGGGCATTGTAGCAGCAGCTGCTGTGGCTGCAAGCACCCGTAGTAGCAGGTGCTTTCTTGGGAGAAGCTTTGAGGAGAATTGCCTTTTGAAGCTCAGCTTTGGAGAGGTGTTTGCTATAGAGCGCATGCGCTCGCCAGAGAGACAGACAGACAAAGCCAGAAATCACCCCCTAAGGGGGATGGCTATGCAGCAATCCCTCCTCCTCCATTCTCCTCTCAGGATCTTGGCCACACATGCACACGCACCCGGTGTGAGTTTAAGCCATCAGGTCTGGGACTCAAACTGTGGTCGACTACATGGGAGTCCAGTGACACAGCCATTACATCAACTGCTGGCCCTGAACTTCATTCTTTTTATTTATTTATTTATTTGAGAGGTTTTTCACAATAGGGCACGTGTGCTCGTCAGACACAGAGAGAGAGACATAGAGGCAGAAAGTGAGAAATCACCCCCCAGGGGGGGTGGCCACGCTGCAATCCCTTCTCCTCCATTCTCCTCTCGGGATCTTGGGCACGCACGCACACATGCCCGGCGTGAGTTTTAAGCCACTGGGTCCGGGATGTGAACCGCGGTCAACTGCATGGGAGTCCAGCGACATAGCCATTAAGCTAACTGCTGGTTCCCCTCAGCTTCGTTCTTGATTATTCTGTTTCTCGTTTTCTTTGCCTTCTTGACTTTAACACAATCGAAATCTGTCACCTTGGCTTTCCCTTCTCTGGCTTAAACCTTCTGGCCCGTCTTGGGGCTGCCCGTGTTGTACTGATGTCTGGCAGGCTGGCGGACGTACTTCTGTGCATCCTGCTTCCACACCTTTTTGTGTGTGCCACTGTGGACTCTTGGATTCCTTTTCTATTTTGTGTAATATCTTACCTCCCTCTTTCCTTCTCTCCCTCCCTCCTCCTTCTTTCATTTTGACACTCAAATTGCTCTGAGTTTGGCTCTTTTTTTTTTTTTTGTGGTGACTCAGGGGAGGTCAGCTGTTTCAATATGAAGAAACCCACTGATGTGGACAATGAACACAACTTCGTATTTTTTATGAGAAGCGCACGCCCACAGAAGCTGCTGCTGACACTGGGTGAAGAAGGTTATGTGGTTCGAATCATGGGTGAAAACGACAAACAAGGTTTCCCCAGGAAGCAGGGTGTCCTGACCCATGGCCGAGTCCACCTGTTACTGAGTAAGGGACACTCCTGGTACAGACCAAGGAGAACTGGAAAAAGAAAGCGCGGATCTGTTCGGGGCTGCATTGTGGATGCCCAGCTGAGCATTCTCAACTTGGTTATTGTTAAAAAGGAGAGAAGGGTATTCCAGGACTGACTGATACTATGGCGCCTCGTTGCCTGGGGCCTAAGAGAGCTAGCAGATTCCGGAAACTTTTCAATCTCTCTAAAGAAGGTGATGTCCGCTAATACCTTGCAGGAAAGCCCTTAAATAAAGAAGGTAAGAAACCCAGGACCAAAGCACCCAAGATTCAGCGTCTGTGACTCCACGTGTCCTGCAACACGAACGCCGGCGTACTGCCCTCCAGAAACAACGTACTAAGAAAAATCAGGAAGAGGCAGCAGAATATGCTCAACTTTTGGCCAAGAGAATGAAGGAGGCTAAAGAAAAAGGCCAAGAACAGGCTGTCCTGAGAGCTACTACTTCGAAGTCTGAATCCAGTCAAAAGTAAGATTTTTATGAGAAACAAATAAATAAGATCAGATTTCAAAAAATAAAAAATTGCTCTGAGTTTGGACAGTGGAATCTCTTCAAGCTTGTTCCTTCTGATATAACCCCATTAGTCTTTTTTTTTTTAAGAGAGATTTTTGCTATAGGGTGTGTGTGTGCACCAGAGAGACAGAGACAGAAGAAGAGGAAGCACCCCCTCAGGGGGATGGCCACATCACAATCCCTTCTCCATTCTCCTCTCGAGAACTTGGGCATGCATGCACACGCCTCAGAGTGAGTTTTAAGCCACCGGGTCCAGGACGCAAACCCCGGTCTACTACATGGGAATCCAGCAACATAGCCATTACACTAACTGCTGGTTCCCAACCCGTTTTTCTAGTACAAAATGTTGTTCTAAAGAGTCCTTTTTTTTATTATTAAGAGTGATATTTTATAATCAAGATCTGGGCATTAATTAGGCATGCTTATAACTGCAATTGTCATTGCTTCTAAAACTTGTCAGTGGCCAGAGCTAAAAAATGTTTCTATAACTATTACTGAGTGGGCCAGCAGGTGGTGTGGTGGTTGCTGGACTTCCACGTGGCTGACCGCGGTTCGAGTCCCAGACCTGGTGGCTTGCTTTCTCACTTTCTCTCTCTAGTCAAACTAAAATAATAATAATAATAATAATAATAAAATAAATAAAATTAAATAATTCTTTAAAAAATATCACTGAGTTTTAAAAAAATATTGAGTTTATGTAGGTATCTTCAATTCAAAGTCAATACCACAGGGTTCTTCCTCACCATTTTACCCTTCCTCTAAAAGTTATTTGAATTGGGGCCAGCAGGTGGTATGGTGGCTGAGGAGCTGGACTCTTACATGGCTGATCGTGGTTCAAATCCCAGCACCGGCATTTTGCTTTCTCAATTTTCTTTTCTGGTAAACACATGTGCCCTGCAGCTAATGAAAAATGGTGGGGGCCTAGCAGGTGGCATGGTGGTTAAGACACTGGTCTCCCACATGGCCGACTGTAGTTCAAATCCTGGATCTAGGGACTTGCTTTCTCACTTTCCCTTTCTCTCTCTGGTCAAGTTAAAAAATAATAACAACAACAAAATTAATAAATATTAAACATAAAATAATGACAAATAACATTAAGTAAACAAAATTTTAAAAAGTTATTTGAATTAATTTCTTTTTTTGAGGCTATTAATTTGGTATACATTTGGGTTTATTCAATCCTGTTTGTATTCACTTTTAGAGTATGCTTTTTCCGTTCTTTTCAATTTAGTTTTCTGAGTATGTAAAACTTTTTCAGGGCTGAAGGTAAAAAATTTATTAAAAAATAAACGTAGAAGTCTTATTCCTACCACATCCCTTCAATTTCCACAGTCAACTATTTTCATTAGTTTCTGATTTATTCTACTTACATTCTACCTGGGAAAAAATATAAGCAAATATATATTTGTTATTATACTTCTTACTCATGTTACCAATACTTACACAAAAGAAGTACACGACATCTACTTTTTTGCTCTTTGCTTTCTTCACTTTATAATAATGTATCCTCAAAATTACTTCACATAATAGTTCACAGGGATCTTATTTTTTCTTACATTTAAACAGTGCTTCACTGGATAGTAGCTTAGTTTATTCAATTAGCCCCCTATGACATTTTACATTTGTGGAAGTGGGATTGTTGAGACAAAGATTAAATGCAGTTTTGTTAGACATTGCTGAGTTCCCCTCAAGAGAGGCTGAAACAATTCTGTAGTCCTACCAGGAATGCATGGAAGTGCACTTTCCCCATG